AATAGTTGTGGTGGTGAATTGACCAGGGGCTGTTTGCGCGGGCGTCCTAGCCCTCTCTTGAAGCCTTCTGGCTTTTGGTGGGACACAAGTGTGAACCTTTGATTATCTGTTGGTTTTGCCGCTGATGTTTGTATTTTTGCCTTGCTAAGCAGCTCTGCCAGCTGCATTTTTTCTGCTCCTTCTACTCTTGTTCGAACAGCCACTTTAGTCGCGGGAGGTGCAATGACAGAGGCGTAAGTTGGTCGCCCTCCCATTTCTTGTGTCGACAGAGGAGCCATTTTGCGCACTGGCTCTTCGAGACTCTTCGTTACTGACTTCTCTAAGACCATCGTCCGTTCTTCCATTCGTAAAGCCTTCAGCTTCGATCGTAGCGTCTCAGCGTGGGGTTTAAAGGCTTCGATAACCTCATCTATCTCCATCATCGATGCCGGAGATTTTTCAATGCCTACGATCACCAGTTTGTCTCGAACCTTACTTAAATAATACCCTACAGTCTAAAGGTTATCCATATTCACGCCTGTAGATGTCGTGAGAGAATCTACAGCCGCAATTACGGCTGTTTCGCTGTCCGTTGGTGGTATTGGTGGTGCCATGGAAACCACATTTCTGGTTCCCCAATCTGCCATGCCGAAGTGCAGCGTGAGAAAATCGGGGAATCGGATGATATGTGTCAATTATGATAGTAGCAATTAAGATAGTAGCAATTAAAGAAATGATGAAATAACGTTCGTGGAACGTTGTGCAGCTTTGGACCAGATGATGATGTTTTTTATTATTATTATTTTGAAATTGATTTAATTATCCTGATTTGGCGCCCTATGGGCCCATGAAGGTATCTACAATCTATAATTTTCAAGCAGGAGAAAGCCTTCATGATGAAAACCCCCTACACCTTTCTACTTGTTGTCTTTAGTTTTCACATATTTTCTTCAGGAAGCGCAGTTACACTATTGTGCCATCCATGTAAATCAACCAGATCATCTCTATCCGCCCCAAGCATTATTTGACCTTTTCCTTTCCCTCAGAAGCATTTCGACCACCTTTGTCATCTAGATTTCTCTATCCAACCATGGTTTAGGATTCACTGTGTTATCCTTTTTACATCTCCAGGACTGTTTATCATCGCTTCGTAGGACCGATCTTTGGCTTGTTTCCAGATTTCAGCTTTACCGTTTGACCATCGGGGCCAGGATATAATCATATGCTTGGGATTCTGTGATTAATGGCTATATGGACAACCTGGACTTAATACTTCGGGTACCTTTCTGTCGACGGCTAATAATAACCAACGAAGAAGTTGGACAGGGAAATGTCTCGGGTCACAAATAGGGACTGTCCATACGTACGTGGGTTGTTTGCTTCGGTCAGTGCTTGCATTCTATATTTAGAACTACAGGTTATTCTATTCCTAGCGCATGTCTATATTTAGAGATCAAGAGATCAAGTCAATCATGATCAGTGTATATAGTCCTAGAATTCGGGGAGAAATAGGAATCAAGTTGTTTTTACTGAGTTATCTTTTACTTTAATTACATACACTTCGCCTGTCATAGGTCAGGCTCCCAGTTACCTGACACTTTCTATTGTGTAAATACGGGTTAAGCACCATGTGCTCACTTCGTATTTGCGCCGCCAAACTGCTTTGGTATTATTGTTATTATTATTAGAATTTTAATTCATTATCCTGATTCGGCGCCCTATGGGCCCATGCAGGTGTCTACGAACTCTAATGTTTACATAGGAAGAAACCTTGCAGTAAAAACCCCTTTAGCTGTCTGATTGAACTCTACGCCATTAAAGTCTTTCCTCTAGGAAGTGCACTGGCACTGTTGTTGCTAGTGTGGATTCCGTCCTTGTCCTGTGTTTCCATTCTCCTCTCTTCGCCTGGTTAACGCCTCGATTTCCCCGATCATCCGAAACTGCTCTAGCCGCCCTTCCTTTTGAATCCACTGTGCAATTCTTGTCATATCTTTGACGTTATTTACCATTGCTTCGAAAGATCGGGCTATCGATTTTCGTAGTAATTCACCTCTTCCCTTTACCCATCTTGGACAAGACACCACCATGTGCTTTATATTTTGGGACGGATATCCACATTGGCAGCATGGTTTTCCTACTCCTGGCACGTTCCTTCTATATAAGTAAGCATTGAGCCCAATATGCTCGCTTCTTACTTGTGTGGCCATGCTGCTCTGGGCCCTGCTAAGGTTTTGGTGGATTTGGATAGGTGACTCTCTATAGTTCATCATAAGTCTACATGTTTTTTTGTTATTGTATAAGTTTGCAGCATTCCACTTATCCGGGTTGGCTTGCGCTCGGGGACCCAAGCGCCACTCCTTCTTCTGGCTCGTCCACGATTCTGACCATTCCTTGAACGCGGCGTTCTTACTGGCTACTTTCTGTCCTGTTTTAGACTCGACGTTGCTGCAGATTAGGGTAGATTCCGCTATATCATCTCTCCTTTTATTGCGGTTATTCAACTTTTCTTCATCAAAATATTTGATTTTTCTGCGTGCAGTTGAAATTATCTATTGAACAGATAGGTTATTGGATAGCCCGGTATATTGAAGCCGCCTTTGTTTAAGGTTGATCTCTATCCGGAGAGTTGACGTTTCATGCTCTAGCATTCTACTACTGGTCGACTGGTATGCCCCCGTAATGATCTTTAGGAATTTTCTTTGCACACTTCTGAGTGGCTTGAGTATCTTTTCAGGGATGTTGCCTACCGGTCCAGTTCTGGCCCAGATAGGGGATCCATAGGTAAGCGCTGGTCTTACTACCGAGTTACATAATAGTCGTGATTTGTTGACATTCGCACCCCACATTGACTGAGTTAGTTGACTCAATGCCTGCATCTGTGACTCCGCATTTGCCTGTAATCTTTTAACGTGGGATGCCCAGTTTAACTTGGGGTCCAACTGAATTCCAAGACATCGAAGAGACAATTTGGGGTAATCTCATGACTCTGTGTTTGGATAGCAGCGTTCAGACTATGACGTTTCCGGGCCCTCGAGAAATGCATTGGCTGATATTTCTCTGGTGCAAATTTAACCCTATGCTTCGTTGCCCATGAAGCACATTTTTCGTGGAGTTCCTCCAGTTTGCGGCAGTTTTCTTCAGTTGTGTTTGACCATGTTATCAGATTGGTATCGTCCACAAATTCGATCGCTGATGACGATTCTGTCTGAAGTAGAGGGAGTAAGGTGCAAGCGAAGAATAAGAAGAGAATTGGTGAAAGCGGAGAGCCCTGAGGTATCCCTGTATTTGTGTCGATACTTCCTCCTTTGAACGATCCAAGGGCTATTGAGGTAGACCTCTCTTCTAGAAATGACTTGGTAAAGTTAGTTATCCATAGAGGAATCCCTTTCAGCCTCATGTTGTGAATGAGTCTTTAGTGGGATACATTATCAAAAGCTCCAGAGATGTCTAGACTGAGGATGGATGCCACCTTTTTCTTATCATTTCCCCAGATATCGTAGATCAGTTCGGTCAAAAGCTCAGCTGCCAAGATCGTGGATCTGTTGGGACGCGCCCCCATCTGTTCTTCTGGAAGAAGATTGTGCATTTCGGCAGCGCTTGAGATGCGTTTGGCGACTATTCTCTCAAGGAATTTTCCAATGGTGTTTAGGAGGGCTATTTATTATTATTATTAATTCATTTTAATGTCCATTCTGAGTCAATGACTATGTAGGATATGCAGGTCCTCTCTGCCTACAGGCCAAAGATACCTTTGCCTCCCATACAGCTCCCCTCAAACAGTACCAATCCTTACACGTCCTCATTCGATCACACACTTAGAGAAGCCCTTTACTCTTGATCGTCTCCCCTCACCAGCCAACAAAACAATAGCCATTTGTGGGTGTATGGCAGCCGGGAAAAATCGCAAAAAACCACTGGGTTCGGAGCTCAGTTTTTTTTTAAATCATTAAATGTGTATTCAGCTATAGAGCTACGTCACACGACCGGTGCTATGTATACATGTAGGATGAATCTTTGGCGTTAGAGATACTCATACTCTGGATTTAATTTGCAAATACTACCTTGAGGCATATTTTCTTACACAAACAGTCGACCGTCCGTAAGTGCCCATCAAAGGGAAATGCAAAATCTTTGATTACCCAAGCATGCCATCATCATCCATGTATACTTGCACAGCGAGAAAATTAACTGTGTTTTGCCGGATTCGAACCAGCGATCTCCTGTCTCGATTGGGGTATGTGTTCAAGCTAACCCGACTTTACTTGGCAGACTGGTTAAGACTATATACCACCGCACCATCCAACCATGGCGATGTTTATAGTGTCGCCTAAACTCTCGCAACCGAAGCCTTGGTACACACAAAGCTCGATTGGTAAAGACTCCTTGCCAAGATTCGAAATTTCACGACCCTCAAGACTGTATCCATCATTTGAGTCATATTGTGAACTTGTCCTGATCCCTCTTACGTTCATCCCAAAGAACTACTTCCAAGGCATGTGCGCCCCGCATTGTTTCCTCGACGGGTATAAATATCAGCGTGGGCGTGTATTTGGTGGTCAACTGAGGCCAGAGAAGGTCGAAGAGAGGTGTGGTCATTGGGATGAGGATGTACTAGGTCGTACTTGTAGTCTTGATGAGGCTTAGGCATGAATCGGCCTCGTTGGGTGTGAAGATCTAACGTGGTTGAGTAATTTGAACCATTGCCTCTTGGGCCAACTTGTTCGGGATTGCAAGATTTGACTGAACTTGGCTCTAGGAGAATATTTCACCCCCAGGTTCTTAGAGGATACCCCGCACAGGTCTTCAGTCTTGCCCTTCGGATAATTTGACGTAGATATCATTACTTGAAGATCATAATTTTCCTTCTGATAGTAATAAAGTGCCGTGCCCCTATTCATTTAACTCAGATCCTAAAGTCCTCACATTTTTACAGCTCTAATAGTATCAAGTTGACGATTGAAAATCACCCTTTCACTCCAAAATACATCTGGAATTCTAACACTATTTCTCTAGACTGGTGGTTAATCCACCACAAATATAAGTTCACACAAGCCTAAATGTCCTTCTTTTTCCTCATGTACACTTGCCGATCGAGTTTCAACTTGCACCTTTATCACATGGTTATGTGAGACTTTTAGTATGGGAAATATCAGCAGCTGTTTTCGATAAGGGAAAAGATTGACTGACCGCCATCAATAATCCGATGGTCAAAGACGTAGCTTAAAGTAGTTCGACCAAAAGTATTGAAAGTCATAAGACCATCTATATTCCTGTTAGTGAGCATGGTGTCCCGTAAAATATTGATTATGTCTGTCGTAAATTTAGTTCGGGATGGACATATATATTTGTACTCGGCAGACACCGAAATCAGATGGCTCATGAATGCAATGAAGGAAGCCAGTGGTAGAAGCCTCATTTCGAAAAAGTTGCTGAGTAGAAAGAATTCTTTCGACTCGAATCAACAAAGTTTCTCAGATGATGAACGTAATCTGTTTGAAAGATTGAGAGCTGCAAAATAAAAGTCCGGACTGGAATAAGTGTGAACTTGGACCAATGAACGATAGCACTGAAGTCTGCCGGCAAAGAAGGCTTGAAATGCACTGTCCATACATATTGGAGCGTCGTAACCTGGATTTATTGTCTGGTGGTTGGAGAGTCATGTACATGTAGACACTGGAATGAGCCGGTCGAAGGCATACATGGACTACAAGCCTATGTGTCTTATCATGAAAAATGGTGGGGCTGGGGATTGGAATGCTTTGTCGATTCTTGGCGTGAGATTGTGCGCTACAGTAATGAACATATTTTTTTTTTTTTTTTTTTTGCATCAGATTTTAATTGCGTATGCAGCTATCTAGCTATGACACAATATCAAAGAAAAGTATAGAATAGATGATTCAATTTAAAAGTAGAGCACTCAAGCCTCAGATTTCATTTGCAAGTACCACTGCGAAGTTATGGCGGCTTTTTCTTCACCCCAAGTCAACCCTCATCCGTGAATACCCACCCAGGGGAACATCTCAAAAACCCTGAGTTATCCAGACATGCCTCCATCATCTTTCAACTTTTCTCCGCGCGAAATATGGTCTGAGATATCTCCTTCCCAAATGGAGTAGGTGCCCAGGCTACTCAAACTATACCGGAGAACACCACCAGGAGGCGGACCACAACACCATCCATCGTTTGCTTGTTTTTATAGTGTCAGCTGCACTCTCGCAAGCGAAGTCTTGGCGCACACAAAGCCCAATTCGAAAAACTCCTTACCAAAATTCGGAGTCTCATGCCCTTCGAAGTTATATCCTTCCTCTGTATCATCTTGTCAACTTGTCCTAATCCCTTTCACGTCCATTCCAAAGAACTGTCTCCCAGATTTGTGCGCCACGCTTTGCTTCCTCCGTCGGGTATAAATATCGGCGTGGGCGTGTATTTGGTGACCAGCTGAGGCCAGAGAAGGTCGAAGAGTGGTGTGGTCATTGGAATGAGGATGTACTTGGTCGTACTTGTAGACTCGATGAGACGAAGATAGGGGTCAAACTCGTTGGGAGCGAAATAACGAAGTGGATGAGTAATTTGGATTTTTGCCTCGTGGGCCAACTTCTTTGATATTGCGAAATTTGACTGAACTTGGCTCTGGGAGAATATTTCACTCCCAGGTTCGTAGAGGACACCGCGTACAGGTGTTCAGTCTTGCCCTCCAGTAATGAACATAATGGTGGGTTATCTGAGCTAGGTTGATCACATATCCTGTTGTCGCGTGTATACGCTTGGCAAACTTTGGAAGAAGCTAAATTCTGCCTTCCAGTCCTCCAATCGCCTCGATTTCATCTTAAAATTAAATTGACATGAGAACCATAGCCTGATTTAATTAGAGATGAGCCCTACACATCTGTAATACTTCCTAGAGACGGCTGAGAATGAGGGTTGGCATTGCAAGTATTATGATGATGAGGCAATGGTTGAAGAGGGACAGTCCATTTCGTCATTTCCAATCTATACGTGTCGATAGATCACTTCTCGAAGTTTGATGAGACTATCGGCGACAATGTTCTGACAACTGACACCCTATCTACCAAGATGTTGGGAGTGAGATATTTCGTCAGAGCCGAGTTGGCGCTAACTTTGCTGTCATGATTCGGCTACCAAATGCTTATATTATTTCATTTATTGTCCTGTCTAAGTCTATGACTGTGTAGGACATATAGGTCCTCTCTGCCTACAGACCAAGGATACCCATGTCAGTAGCATATCCCCTCCTATGCCTCCCATACAGCTCCCCTCAAACATTACTGCCCCTCCAAAGTCCTCATTCAATCATACACTTAGAGAATCCCTTTGCCCTTTGTCGTCTTCCCTCTCCAGCCAACGAATCGACGGCCATTTGTGGGTATATGGCAACGGGGAAAATTCTCAAAAACCACTGGGTGCGGGCCTCTTCTAGTACCGACGCTAGGACTAATTCCGAAGACATAGTGCCCCTTCTGAAGCGTTCGTAGAGGCCGGCCAGCTGGGCACTGCAGACTCGTGGGTACCTCGGAGAAATCACCCTCTACCTTTCTAGCCTCCTTCCAACTCCTTCCCGAAGATCGTGGTGAAATGTCAGAAAAGTCTTGACAGAGCGTGATTGCTGTATAGTAGCTTAGCCCAACTTCTTTTGTGCCGTCCAGGGCGCTGGGAGTGCCGTTGACTCATCGACAGAAGAATTTCTCCTGGCTAATTAGCCGAAATCTCGGTCTTGGCGCCCACAAAAAATCCAAAGTTGAAAACTTCTCGAAATTGTCATTCTCAGCATGCTCTTTAGAGTCCTGCTCCGCCTATTGCTCCACATCTCAGGCGCCTGTTCTTCCTCAAGTTGTTTGTCCCATTAGAGCAACAGTCCCCCATAAGCCAAGACCCAGGCTTTGTATTTTTCGACTTGATTTCCTCCTTGCGGTTATGAATAGCGTCGTAAATATGTAGTGAGAGATGGCTGGAAATTAATGGGGCAAGCTCCTGTATGGAATTGGAGCAACTTCTTTATTGGTCATCGAGGCGAGATGATGCGTGGTTAGATAGAGTCTGAGGACTCAGAAGAGTTGAGTAAGAGAGTCATTGTCGAGAAGTCGTCAAATGAAGATGTGCTTGAGATTGCTTTCGACTTCGATTCGGATGTGATTCTTCTTGGCTATCCCAGATATGCAGAGCATGCTGAGCGATTACACTGGCACCACTGGAAGGTGAAGAATTCGTCTTCGCCGGCTCCAAATGCTCATAAAAGTGCGTAGGAATTGTACTCGGAAACAAGCTTCTGTCAAGAGATCCCCATTAGCTAGAGGCTAGGTTTAGGTATGTTTTCGGGAGGGGTCGTTGGGAATAGTCATTTTGTTTTCTACGCTGTCGATTGTTTGGCTTCATTCCAGAAGGTTCCAAATGCGTTCCCGGCGATTATGAATCCTCAAAATATCACGATAAATTACTTGTGCATCAATCATGTTATCTGTTCTCCGGCAGCTTCCCGTAAGACCTCCTTCGTATCTTTGCTTAGGCTAACTAGTGCAGTGGAGGGTGTTACGGGCTGTGCCGCGTTGCATTAGGCTGGGCTATCTTTTAAGCCCAGCCTCGTTCAAGGGCTTCAATCACGTGATAAGACATGGGGTCGTTTCTCACGACTGGAATCACTCAGTTAATTATGCTGAGGCTGGGAAACATATCACTCAGTAGCGAAGGATTACGTGTCAGGAATCAAGATCACTGGTAGCCGCAGAGGGCATATTTAATGTAACAGATTTCCAGTATTTAATCTCTACAGAAAAATATTAATTCTTTGTGGTACTGCTTATGTGCGGTGTCCGTAATCCTCTTCGCCCCTAACAGAGGGTAGCCCAACCGACGTTTTATTCGTAATGTAGATGTTAGCCTACAATGAATCTCTTCGCTCCTAGTAAGGCCTAAAGAAGTCTTAATGCACTACCTACTGTATTCATTTTCAGCAGAATTGGATTAAGATGGAGTTCTCTCTAAGAAGAGTGAGTTCATTGATCCTCCTCTCCATGAGGAGTCTATCTAGGTATCATATTCATCTAGAGGGTGTTCTCATAATTACTACTAATTTCATACATAGACTGACTATTAAGATTGTCTATGCGAACTGCTCAAGTATCTATTCCGTATATGGTTCTTAAATTGATTGTTTTCGTTCTATGAATGACAATTTCAGGTGTAAGACATTATCGAGGATAAAAATGAATTCCATGTAATAAGCTAATGGATAATTTAACTTTAACGAAAAGTAATGGAATGGAATACTAATAATTGGGGAGTTTTGCCTAGGAAATTGAACATCCACCTAGTCGGTAGTTGAGACATTTGCACAATTAGATTATGTCCCGTGATGCATCAGCGTCGTTTAGTCGCTTGTAAACTACTTTACTTGAATAAAGTGATACTGTATTCAAATTTAGGGTAATGTATTCGAAAGTTCTTTTCTGAATGAATAAGCTCATCATAGCTTCACTCTCCAGCCTAATATTGTGTAACCACGATGCTCGCAAGACCTGCGGGTCTCATGAAGTTGCGCACAAACATGGTGATGTAGATTCATTGGAATGGCGGACGAGACCGAGCACAGGAAGAACATAGTATTGAAAAGAATGATTTTTGTTGGAATTTGCTCGGCTATTTTGGATCATAGGAATTCCTTTGGTTTGTAGCCAGCTTCCCGATACACTGAACGCTAATCTCTTGTCGCGGCTTAGTAGTCTTCTTCTATGTGTGCGAGGCGAGGTCAATGGGCATAGTTACGTACAAGATGAGCTCGAATCTATCTGGTCATTAGCGGCGTGCTTTTGGTGTTGAGAGGTTCCTGCAACTCCTTCCCTGCACAATAGTCATGTGATCAGTGGTGCTGGAATCTTTTTCTGTGATAATTTTGGCGATTGCTTTACATTCAACGACATGTCAGCACACCTAGCTTGCCTATCATATCGGCCCTGGGCCTCCCAAACAGCCGGCAAGGTCGAATTCTTCACCTTTCAGTGGTGCCAGCGTCATCGCTCGGCATGCTCTGCACATCTGGGATAGCTAAGAAGAATCGTATCCGAGTCGAAGTCGAAGTCGAAAACAAACACATACACATCTATAAACGGTCACATCTCATCAATGTCGGTCTTATCATTCTCACGGGAGTCCTCTACCTTAACCTCCCCATACACTACCTCGCCTCAACGACCGATAAAGATGTCACCCCAATTGCGAACAGGAACTAGCCTTTTTTTTACCGGCTATCACTCACTACAAATTTACGAGGCTACGTATACCCGCAAGGAGGAAATTGAGTCATAACATACAAAGTTGGGGTCTTGGCTCACGGGAGAACTATTGCTCTAATGGAGCTATACAACTTGAAGAAGGATAGACGACTGGGACGTGGGAAGATGTAAG